CAAGGAGGCGGTGGTGCCTTTTTGGGCAGGATTACATGTATGTATGTATATATACATATGTATTCATATGTATGTATGTACGTATGTACGTGTGTAATTATGTGCTTCTGTAGGGGGTTTGTGTATGCTGTTACTGTTTCTGCTGTGTTTGTAACCAGTCGTATGCCACCATTGATGCTGATCGTGGTTCTGACATAGGTTTCCTTTGTCACCTAATAGTTATCACAACAATTCCAGGAGCAAGAGCAGTAACAGTAACGGTAAGACAGAAGAGCATTAACAACCAAGAACACAATAAACAATAGTCATGATAGTCGTAATACCAACAAACCAATAATGACTAGACTAGTAAGAGTAGGAATCATATGAATAAGAATAAGAACGCTACTACTATAGTACTACTACTAATAATAGTAGTAGTAGTAGTAGTAGTAGTACCAACAGTACGTGGTAATTATGCCAACAAGAAGAATCCTGACATCAATGTGGATAGCAAGAACTGGAACAAAAACAACAATAATCATGTCAAGAACAATGGGTCATGGCAATTATGTTGGATGCGTGATGGATGGCTGATTTGGACCTACCCAACCTTTTCTTGATGTAGGCTGGCGGCGTGGTCGCAGGATGTCGCAGGTTATCCTGAAACTTGAGGCTTGAAACCTGGAGTTGAAGTAGAGTTTGATACGAAGGCAGGAACAGAGCCAGATTGACCAGGTCAGCGGCTTCAAGAGCGATGTGGAGATTCAGTACCACTACGAAACGACGCCCTTTGAAACCGAGAGAACACTCTTGCGCATCGCGCAAGCGCGTATGAAGAAGTTTCTGGAGACGGAGACTCGCAGGAAATTAGAAGCCGGTTTCGGACTTTTCTGTAAGACGCCCTACCCATACATTGTACACCAAAGTGGGGACGCCCAACGTATGTAGACTTCCTGGTGCTGCCATACAGTGCAGGAGAAGAGGTCACGGAAGCTGCAGCGCATAAACCGCGAGGGCGTGCCAACCATCGGCATCGTGGGATACACGAACGCAGGCCTTCAGGATTGGCACATTGGACGCTGCGATGAAGACACAGACTCGTGCTCAGCTTGGGTTCAGGGAACCGAAAGCCCTTGATGTTCTAGCCGGCAGCTGGCGTTGTGAGTGGGACGCGTCTGACTGCAGCACTCTGGCGGCAGGAGTAGCTCTAGAAAGGTCACCCTCCTCCTCTTCCTCCTCCTCCTGGTCCCTTCCTCGCAATCCTCGACGCAGCAGCGCCAGCAGCCAACACATAGGTTCACTCCCAAAACAGTGCAATCTGAGACGTGGCAGCATCGGCTCAGTGAAACGACGTTTACAACCCGTGCGACTTGATCTTTGGATTGCTTCTCAGGGTCCGGACAGCACCAAAAAGATTTGGCGCGAAAGCTTTTGGTCCTCAAACCGACTCAAGCCCTTTAAAGGTGGGGGTTCAGACAGGGCAGGGGCCTGAAAGCCTTCGCTGTGCAGGGAAGACCTCTCTGATGAACCGACTCACCGATGCAGGTGGGAGCCGAACAGTCGGTTCCTTTTGGCTTTTCGGAAGGTTAGCGTGTCTGAGTGAAGTGTCTTCTAGTCTGGAATAAAAGCTGCAGGTAAGGCCTGAAGAGAAGAGGGCCCAAATGCCAGAAATAGGCCCAGGAGCCCCGAGCCGCCTATCTACCGACACGTGGGTGCAATACTGCCGGTAAGAAAAGCAGGGCTGAAACTTCGTGACTTAAAGCTTAGGCTTTACTGGTCCTACGGCTTCTGGAATCTGAATTTGGGCGTTTGTTCCGTAAACTGATGTGTATTCCCCTGCAAGCTTCTGTGTCTCGTGGGAAGGCCTACGCGAAAGAGACCTCCTGTTCCAGACCCTGGATACCACAATGAGGAGGGTGAAGTTGCCTTCCGGTGGGCAGCTTCAATGCATTGCTGAGCTGTCTGCTTGCTGTCAAAGTTGCAGAAAGTCTGCAAACGAGGCATGCAATCATTGCTGACAGCATTGGCTTCATCCAGCACTTGCCGCACAATCTCTTTGCGGCTTTCCAGTCGACATTGGACGAGATCGTCAGCTGCGATGTTCTACTGCGTCTTGACTCGTTATGATTTAATTCGGAATGCCCGACCTTCATATTGCCACATGCACACAGCACAGCGTCCACAGCGGCATCATATTGGCCGTTGCAACTCCGTTTCGAAAATCCGAGGCATGTCAGAGACATTGCGCATCCCCAGCGCACCATGCAGCCGCCGGGGCTCGATTTGGGACGTGGATTCATTACTTGCCTCTTGTTGCTTAGAAACACTGTCGAAAATGAACCTCTGCAGATGCCGAGACGCTCAACATCCGCAGTCCTCTCCCCTCAGCCATCCATGACTCTTTTCTTCAAGGAAGGACATCGTGCTGAAGACGCTGCGTAGCGCTGGAATGCCTGAAAGCAAGCTGCAGTCGTCGGTGATCGAGGCGCGACATCATGGACATGTCGGTTTGCCTCGGTACTCGTGGTGTGCAGATGGAGACGGACGCAGAAGTCAGAAGTTTATATATGTGATACATGGGATGTTTATGCATGATGCATGCATACATGCCACACACATACCATATGTGTGTACATAGATATGTATCTATGCATATGTATATGTATATGTACCCGCGCAGATATATACACACACACACACACACACGCACACTCACACGATGGAGTCATAGTCGGATGCTCGCCTAGCACAAACAAATTCGCGAATTCAAAAGTAAATGGCTTCGTGCCACTAGAATGGGTGGTGGTCTCCCCGGGGAAAGAAGGGTGCAAAAGCAGGGCAACATGAACATTGCACAAGTCAAGGTTCCCTACGGCACCAACCCCGAAAAGCGCGCGAGACAAGCCTGCATCAAGCGGCTTGGAGAGGAGCCAGCTGGTGCAAATTACAGGTCGCCTCTGAGCACAGGCTGAGCGCCTGGCATGCCTGTCGGCTAGCCAGAAAAGTGCAATACCCTGACCACTCGGAGATCAGATAGGAAAAGTAACACCCCGAAAGTGTGACAGCAAAGCTGGGCATGAACGACCACGAAGCCAGCAACGTACGTACGAGGCAAGAACAAAGCTAACACGCCCCATACTTGAAAGTATCTGCGCCCGCTCAGACATTCCCGCATGCGCAGCCTCAGCGTATGCGCAACCGAGAATGGAAAGCCTTGCAAAACGATGAGGAAATACATCATGTCGCGAAGTCGTCACATGGGATACTTATCGCATTCATTCTTGGGCCGGGTCCCGGTCTTGCCGGTAAGCCGGTAAAGGCTTTCTTAAAGAGCTGCATGCCACTGCAGCTGCGCAGCACCAGGTGTACTTAGCATCGGCTCCTGAGTCGTCGCCCTCACCTCAACATCTTGGGCGACCGTCTTCTCGGCAAGCGACCGCACTGGATCTGCATACCAACGTGCCGTACCCCGCCCGGGCTCGCGCTAGGGAGACGATCGACTCCAGCTGGATGCAAAGGTCGAGAGACCTCCGCAGGATGCATGGCCTCATCTGGCATCTGGGACGTACTGCATTCCGCCGGACGCCGGACGACCCTGGCGTGCAGTGCTGAGATACCCGCCCCTGGCTCGCTCGGGCCCTATATACAAATATACACATACGCACATGCATACAGAAACACTTGTATATGCATATCGCATACATACATTGACATATATACTTGAATTCGTACATGCACGCATGCACATCATGTGTACTTTGTGACATATGACATGTCGGGTTCAAGTAGGTCTAGCAGTACCGACAGCGAACCCACAGCTGCCTTTCCGACGAAACGAAACATAATACTGAAGCTATCTGATACTGCTGCCGTTCGTGCATCATTCACGCTCAACGTCGAGAGGTGCCCTTTCATGTCTCGCTCATATACTCATACACTACTTCCTGAAGATCTCTTAGTCACTAGTCTTAGCCAAACTCTTGCATTTAATAAGGTGTGGAACAAGATCGACCTCCTGAGCTCCATGAGCTACGTGCCTCCGGAAGCCGTGCCCATCTGCGCGGCGGACGGCACCGGGGTGGAGGACCTGCTCCACGTCCTGGATGCTGCTGCTTGGGCAGTCGAGTTCTTTTGTTGATCTGACTGGGACATACCGGGACATCGGACTGTTCGTAGTCGTTGGTTGATTCCCCAGCATGCCGTAGGCGAGTGATGAGGAGGAGGAGGAGGAGGAGGAAAGCGACGAGGACGGTGAATCGCACTGGGTCAGTTTCCACATGCTACAGGATGCGAATCGTCGCATCCTTTGGCTGACCCCGAGGTTATAGGTGCGCAGCTGGACAAGCAGCGGCGAACGGTGAAGTTTCCGCAGGAGCTCATGCCACAGGCGTGCGACCTGCTAGTGTATCTTTTTCTCGATGTCACTGTCTTCTATCACCGCCCTTACATGCGCCGCATTTGCGTCAGGTGATGGCGTTTCTGCACAAGAATGGCGCTGTGGACCAAGAATCATTGTCCATCGAAGAGGACGATGGCTCAACGACTGCGCAGGTGCGCGCACAAGCAGAATTTGCGCATGCCACCGCAGTCTGTCCAAATTCAAAGCAGATACAAAGTGGCAGGTGTGCATTGATGCCGTTCTGCCTGCCGTTGGCTGGAAGCGCTGGGAAGCAGAGTGGCGAAATCTTCAACAGACCTGAAAAGTCCCATGTCGCCTGCCTTCTTTCCTTGTACATCCTTGCACTAGTCACTAGTCACTTGTAGACATTGCTAATCAGAGCCTTTTCGGGAACTGGAACCAGCCGTTTCGCGAGATTTTTTTAGGGCCAAGCTGACATTCCTCTCCAGACCCTAGGACCATATGATAGTACAGATGCCCAGCAACAAAGCTGTCTTGTTACAGAATTCCGTCTGTGTATCCGATCTAAGCTCGCAGTGAGCTTTGATCTCTGCGATGCGAGAGGGAAAAATATATTAATATGATCTCCTTAAACTCCTATAGGAAGCGTCCCCGCCAGGCTCGACTTGGACCAGGCTCACGTGAAGACGGCGGGCTATCCTGTGAAGCTCGGACAGCGAAGAGGTTGGTTTGAGGGGTTCTCTAGGGCTAGGGACTCTAGGGCCATGGATTCAAGCTTTGGGGGACCCTAAACAATAAACCCTAAACCGGTGTGAGTGTGAGTGCTGAAACCGGTGTGAGTGAGGGCTCAGGGTGCCCGAGAAACACAGTCCCTTTCCAACGAAGTGGATTTCGCCGACTGCCTGGAGCATCAGGTGGAAAAAGGGGTTCCAACAACAAAAATGAAACCCAAACCCTAAACCCATCTTCTGTGAAGCCTTGCCTGCTTTGCGAGAGAGAGAGAGAGAGAGAGCGTGCATGGCAGGGGGAGCAATGTCC